CCTTTGCCAAACCTCTCCCTGTGTGATGTTCATAAACTAAATCCAGTTCATGGTTAAAAACATGTATTTGGTGTAGAAAGAACGTTCTAGAACTCACACATCACCAACATTTATGAAACCAAGCCGTGGTAAAGGGGTTCTGTCCTCGGGAGCACAAGGTCATGGGACCCCAGTTCAGGCAATCGGTTCCCACCGCCTGTGTGTGTCTCCCCTGAGGGCCCCGTCCCTGTGGAGGGGAGGGGAGACAGCTGAGGGGGGTCCCCCACCCCTCACCATTCCTACAGGAGCGTCTTCCTTTAAGACACATTCATGTTTCTGTTCAAAAGGACAAGGAATCTCCTCCTGAATCTGCCAGAGATGGGCGGATGGAGGATATTTAAGGAATTTGAATCGACACTTGAAGCCTGCGGCTGACGGTAGTGTTCATTTCCATCACGTCCTGTTTGGATTCAGAGTCTCTCCACTGCCTGGCTGGAGTATTTGAAAATAAAATAGCTCTTAGGAAAACGCATGGCTGTGAAGAGCCACGTTTCTGTTTTTCACATTTATGACTTTGGAGCCGTGGGCTGCTCTCGGTGTCCTTGTCAGCTCCCCTCGGTTTCCAGGTCACCCCTCGATGTGCGGCGGCAGGTCTGCTTCCCCACTTTCTGCAGAAAACTCTCGTAGTCACTGTCCGTCTGCGCTGGGAACTGTGTCATTCCTTGTTTCAACATCCTGTGAGGAGAGCACGGCGGTGTCGTCGACTTCTGTCTCTCCACGGCATTCGCGCTGCACGGCCGAGGTTCTTGCAGCGTTTACCCAACCCTGAGCTGGGTGATGTTCTGCCCCTCATGCCCTTTCTCTGGGGGCAGGTCACTGTGTCCCACACTCTCCCAGTGGCTCTACCGTCGTCAGTCCAGGAGAGCAGCGTCGAAATGAAAAGGCATGTTGGCCACGAGCTCGAGTCCACTCCAGGTTCCCGATCACATGGCCCGGGAGTCGCTCGCTCAAGATCCATCCCAGTGTGGACTGAGCAGCCGCTCAGTGCTCGCCAGGATCACCACCCACAGGCAGGGACGGGGCCACAGTCTCCACTGCCTGGACGTCACGCCCTTCCCCAGTCGGATCCTACCCGTATGTTTTCTATTTGCCCTTTGAACCAATGCACCGAGTGTGTTGGGAAGGGGACTTTTCCCACAGGCTTCATCGTGCCGTCACCTTCATGCAGTGTTTGTTCTCCAGCAAAGAAATCAGCTCCTTTGCGCTTTTCACTATTTTCACGTGGTGTCCCATTCAACTCCTGGGCCTGTGCGCGTGTCCACTCAGCATCCGCTGACCACCTGCCCCTGCAGTGCCCGGCACCTCCTTCCAAGTCCCTCCCTACTCTCCTCCTCCTTTTGCACATGGTCCACGTTTCTTTTTGCTGTGTTTGTAATGCAGGTTTTCTGTATTTTCTATTCCCAGATGAGGGAGACTGTCCACGCGCCGTCTCTCACTATCTGCTCATCTCCTTTAACAAAGTCACCTCAAGGTCCATCCATGTGGTCCCAAAATACATGATTCACCTTTTTAATAGCTGTGTAGTTCCCACTGCATATGTACCCACATTATTTATTCCCTCTCTGTCCACGGCACTTGGTTTGGGGCCATGGCCAGCTACGGTGGACGGTGCTGCTCTGAACACAGGTGTATGTGCTCTGCGTCGTAGAGTCTGCACATCTGAGACAAATACCCGGATGAGGTTTGCTCCATCCTGTGGTTGTCCTGTTGCTATTGTCTGAAGACACCTCCACACCATTTTCCCAGCAGGGATGAGAGGCCATTTCTCTCCTTCCTCACCTCTTGTTATGTCCAGTCTCTTGATTGTTCCCTTCTCACAGGTGACAACTCAGTGTGGCTTGGATCTGTGTTGCCCCTAGAATTACTTATGTAGAGCATTTTTATGGATTAAAGTCTGGGTAAGATACAAAACCATAAGACAAGAAAGAGAACACAGGGGAAGCCCTACTGGACACCCCCCAACACACACAGGTGGACTTGGGGACACAAGGCCTAGGACAGAGAAACGGCAAAAATAAACAAGGGGCCTCACCACACTAGTGAGCTCCTGTGCCTCAGAAGATGCCATCGCAAAACAGACTCCTGCACTGGGAGAAAATTGTGCACGTCACACACCTGGCAAGGGTGAATGTCCAAAATACACAAAACCTCACAAATGCAACAACAGAAAGAGACACCCCAACCCAACACAGCCTCAGGCCCCCGGAGACACTTTCCTCACAGGTCAGGAGGCCACGGCCTCTCACGCTTTTTATTTGGGTAGAAACCATCCCCGCTCCTGAGCCTGTCCACCTGCCTCACACCTGCAGCCACTTGAACAACCCTGATAGAGTCACAGGTGCTGCAGGAGGAAGTGGGTGTCGTCTCCCCGGTGGTCTCCACGTTAAGAGCATCCGGGTCGCAGTGCCCAGAGGCAGGATCCCCCAGGGGCAGGCATGTGTCCACCATGAGGCCGAGCGGGGGGACATGAGGGCACGCTGGTGAGCGGAAGGGGCGTGGCCTCTGTCCCCCGAAACAACCCCCACAGGGATCCCCGGACTGGGAGAAGCACCAGGCACCCTCCCACCCGCTGCCTTGGCTGTTCCCACTGGGCAGCGCGTGTCTCTCACCCTGGCCTCGGCCAGCCCCGGGCTCTGAGCGGACACCCCTGAACCCCAGCCCGCACTGCCCTCGGGGCCGCATCCACCTCGCAGAGCCCTTGGGCACAAATGTCCACATTTCAGCCGAAGGTGAACACGCATCGGGGAGGTTCCGGGACTTGTCCTGTGTGTCCTCCTGTCCGCGGGCCCAACTGGGACCGCACAAGATGGGGTCACTCCCGTCAGGGGAGGAAACGGACTTTGGTCACTTCGTGTCCCTCCCGCCCGGCCTCCCAGTGCGTGCAGCTACCCCGGGCCCGGCCAGCTCTGCCTGACCACTGTCCAATTGGCTCCCACGCCAGAGAGCGATTCCCACCGGCCGCTCGTCTGCAGGAGGCTCCATGTACCCTGCGTGCCTCAGCGCTCCTGAGCCCCGTCTTCGCCTCAGCAGCTGCCCATGGGTCCCCCAGCTGCTGCCCAGGACTCGGGCACCCGAGGCAGAGCTGGAACTACCCCAGTTCCCGGCCGCCTGTACTCTTGGCACCCCAGGGGACCCCAGCTCGGCCGTGTGCACCCCGCACACCCGGGCAGAATTGTCCACGAGAAGGCGAAGTCCATGCGAAGTCAGCAGCAAGTCAGACTCTCAGGCACTAGAGCAGTTAAACTATTCACTTTGTAAATCATGACAACTAATGCTTACGGGGCCCAAGTCGTCATGTCCCACTGCCCTGTCAGCCTGGGTGAGACTCGGAGAGAAAACATATTCTCTTGTAATTTACAATGGTCAAACACATTGACTTTTAATACATTGAGCATATAGAAGATTGTGACTTCTGGGAGATGTGACGATTTCTGCTGCATACCTGGGATTAGCATCAGCACACTCAGTGTGTTCTGGGCGCTGAATAAAATCACAGCAATTAATAGAATTGGATGGTGATGAAGACATTCCAGAGGGAATTAAAAATTATACTTACTGTTTGATTCAGAATATATGCCTTTTCTCCTAAACATGATGACAGATATGAGTCAAGTAGAAATTCAGTACCTTGTCAGCGACACTGTTGACGTCTTAATGGCTCTGGCACTAACATGATGGTGGCGCCGACATCTGTGTATTTGTGGACGTGAACTTGGGATTTTTCCCCAACTCCACACCCAGGGATTGTCAGTGTAATTGGAAAATGAGTCACAGTATTTAATCAGGGCCTGGAGGAGATATGTCAAGTTATTTTATCCATTTTAAAGATGTATTTAAGGTCACTCAACAGATGTCAACATTTTTCACCACCATGCACCCTGATTTATTTTCTTTTTTTATTAAATTTCTGGAATTATTCCCACAAAAGTGTTGCAATTATTTTACATTACTATATTCTCCAAAAAATTCTGCCCACCCCAGGGCCTGCCCCTCCATCACCCCACAGAGGGGGGAGAGGATGACATTGGGGGGAGGAGAGTGGACAGAGCTGCCCCATGTCCAGACGTCCCCACTCACACACGGGCCTGGGGTGAGGAACAAACCTGCACCCGGGGGACCTGGGTACCTGGGACCGGCAAGGACAGCCACATGCACAGACCGTCTGGCTCAGCCCCGGAGCGGCCTCCTCCCTGCACAGATGTGCATGAGTCTGAGGGGGACAGAGGGGCCGGGAGGGACCTGGGGTGGACGAGCTCATCCTGCAGGAGAGACGTGTGGGAGTGACCCAGGAGGAGACTCTGCAGGAAACTTGGTCTCGGAGTCCTCAGATGTGGGGGAGTCAGGTGCAGGGAGATGAGGAGCGAGGTGACGGACCAGGAGTCAGCAGAGAGGCCACAGGGGCAGGAATCTGATTGAGGAGGCGTCAGGACATGCCACATGGGGACTCTGAGCCTAGATCATTCAGTTCCAGGACAGTGTTGGGTCCTGGGGAGCAGGAAAACAGGGACCTGCACACCCCATCTCCTTGAACACCTGTCACTGTGGGGCTTCCCCAGACCAGGGGAGCAGGGACGGGCTCTCTAGGGTGGGGAGGGCCTGGGCATGGTCAATTGTCCTCTAGGGCTGTGCCCTGGACAATCTCTGGGAGGTGTGCTGGGCGGAGACACTGGGGCCTGGGCAGGAGGGGGCGCCGCGTGCCTGGGAATGACTGGGCCCTGGTGTTCTGTCATTTCAGTTCACTGAGAGACCTGATATTCAGGTTTTATCATGGTCATTTAAAATTTTCATTTCTTCTCAAATTTGTAGACACATGTTTTAACAATACATCAATAGCACATTCACATGAGAAAAATATGAATTTGCTTAGATAATGATAAATCATGACTAGATTGCATGCTTCTTATATGTTGATAACCCATTTTGTGTTCAATATTAGAAGATTGACAATGTTTTCTTCCTCTTTTTTATTTATACAGTTGATGTCTCCAGAGGTGACCAATCTCACGGCAGTGACAGAATTCATCCTCCTGGGGTTCCCCACCCAGGGGACCATGGGCTTCTTGCACCCGCTGCTCTTCTCCCTGGTCTACCTGTGTGCCCTGCTGGGGAATGGGCTCATCTGCATCATCACGACCCTGGACTGGCACCTCCACACCCCCATGTACTTCTTTCTGAGGAGTCTGTCATTCTCGGACCTCTGCCTCATCTCAGCCACGGTCCCCAAGTCCATCGCCAACTCTCTGAGGCACAGCAGCTCCATCTCATTCCCGGGCAGTGTCATCCAGGTCTTCATAATGATTATATCTGTAAGTACAGAGATGTACCTGCTCACAGTGATGAGCCTTGATCGCTATGCTGCCATCTGCCACCCCCTGCACTGTGACATCATCATGAGCAGGGACAGGTGTGTGCAGCTGACAGCTGTGTTCTGGCTGGGTGGGGGTCTCTATGTTGTGATGAACACAGCTGGCACCTTCTCATTGTCCTACTGTGGGTCCAACATGGTCCACCAGTTCTTCTGTGACATCCCCCAGTTATTGGCTATTTCCTGCTCAGAAAATTTAATGAACAAAATTGTCCCCATTCTCATTAATGTGGTGTTGATTATCTGCTGTTTCATTTTCATCGTCATTTCCTATGTCCACATCTTCTCTGCTGTCAGGAAGATCCCATCCACAGAAGGTAAGGCCAAGGCCTTCTCCACCTGCCTTCCCCACCTGCTGGTTGTGGTGCTGTTTGTCTCCACTGGATGCTTTGCTTTTCTGAAGCCGACCACAGGCACCCTGTCCATGTCTAACCTGGTCATTTCTATGTTCTAGACGATTGTGCCCCCACCTTTAATCCCGTCATATACAGTTTGAGAAACAAAGCCTTGATGACGGCTGTGGGGAGTCTCATAAATGGCCAGTACTCCAAGATGTGAAATATCAATCTAAAATTATAACACCTAATTAATTCAGCTTTTCCCCCTAACTCTTACATGTCATCATTTAAAAGCATAGATTTCTTGCATTAGGATTATTCCCTTGTCACAAATTCATATTCTCATAATCCTCACTATATTCTTGTTTCCTAAATACTGCAATCCTTTCTCCAAGCCCTTCCTGAATCCACCTCATGGTTAAAAACTTGTATTTGGTGTAGAGAGAATGTTCTAGAACTCACATTCACCAACATTTACATAACATGAAGCAGTGGTAAAGGGGTCTATCCTCAGGACCACATGGCCACGGGACTCAGTCCTGGGGCTCGGTTCCCACAGCTTGTGTGTGTCTCCACTGAGGGCCTTGTCCTCGTTGATGGCAGGGGAGACAGAGAGTGAGGCCCCCCATCCTTCACAATTCCTCACTCTCCCAGATTTCAAACTATACTACAGAGCCAAAATAATCAAAACAGCATGGTATTGGAACCAGAACAGACACACAGACCAGTGGAACTGAACAGAAAACCCAGAAATAAACCCACAGATGTATGTTCAACTAATCTTTGACAAAGGAGCAAAGAATATGCACTGGAGCAAAGAAAGTTTGTTCAATAAATGGTTTTGGGAAAACTGGGTCGCTACATGCAAAAGAATGAAGCTTGACCACTACCTCACACCATGCACAAAAACCAACTCAAAATGGATTAAAGAAGTAGACATAAGACCTGAAACCATATAATATATAGAAGGAAATATAGGCGAAACACTGTATGACATGCACTTCAAAGACATCTTAACAGACACATCACCCAAAGCAGTGATAGTGAAGGCAAAGATAAGCAGCTGGGACTACATCAAATTAAAGAGCTTCTGCACAGCAAAAGACACAATAACCAAAACAAAGAGAAACCCCACCGACTGGGAGAACATTTTTGCAGCAAACACTAATGATAAAGGACTGATCCAAAAATCTACAAAGAGCTGACGAGACTCAATAAAAACAAAGAAAATAATCCAGTCAAAAAATGGGCAAAAGAGCTAAAAAGAAACTTCTTCAAAGAGGAAATGCAAATGGCCAACAGGCATATGAAAAAATGTTCAACATCACTTGTAATCAGGGAAATGCAAATCAAAACTACAATGAGATACTATCTCACACCAGTGAGAATGGCACATATTAAAAAATCTAGCAACAACAAATGTTGACAAGGTTGTGGAGAAAAAGGAGCTCCCCTGCACGGCTGGTTGGAGTGCAAACTGGTCCAACCACTATGGAAAGCTGTGTGGAGGTTCCTCAACTTGCTAAAGATGGCGCTTCCATATGACCCAGCAATTCCACACCTAGGTATTTACCCAAAGGACACAGAAACATCAATTCCAAATTAATTCCAACATTAATTCCAATTGAATCATACTGCACCCCTATGTTTATAGCAGCACTATTTACAATAGCTAAGCTATGGAAACAACCCAAATGCCCAAAAATAGATGACTGGATCAAGAAGATGTGGTACATATACACCATGGAATATTACTCAGCATTCAAAAAAGATAAACACATACAGTTTGCAGCAACATGGATGGAACTGGAAGGGATCATGCTCAGCGAAATAAACCAGAAAGATAAAGAAAAATACCGCATGGTCTCACTCATAGCAGGAATCTAGAAAACCTAAAAAAGGCACCAGGAAAAAGAATAACTATAAGAAAGAAAATATCAAAATCAACAAACAACTATGAACCAGAGACACACTATGGCGGGTGGGGAGCGGGGAAAGGAGGGATTGGGGTCAAAATAAGGGGGTTGCAATTGTATGGGGAATATAAAAATAAAATAAAAAAAAAGATACAATAATAAAAAAAGCATAAAGGAGATGATTTCAAAGGCAGAACATGTGGAATCCTAAACTGCATCTCCCCACACGCTCGTGTCCATCAGGGAGAAACTTGCTCACACTCAAACAGACAACTTTGATATTTCTTCCTCCCGAGCTCTCTGGGCCCAGCACACTCCCTGGACGGCTGCTGGCTCGGGTCTGGCCCCGGGTCCTGAGACGGCAGCTCAGTAGCGACCAGGGTGAGGTCTCCAGCGCCTGGAGCCCGAGGCGCGCTCGGCCAGGGTGGAGGGACTTTTTCCAGCACCGCGTCAGGAGTCAATGTGTTTGTTCCCGTCGGTGCCAGCTGATGTCCATGACTCAGAGTGCGTGTGGCGCGTGGGAAAAGCAAACACAGACGCGCCAGGGCCAGGACAGGTGTCCGGCAGGAGGGTGACGCCACAGTGACCATCCTCAGACCAAACTTCAGCTGGGATTGGAGAGTGAGCTGCAGAGGTCGCCGTCCCCCGATGGCCAGTGCGGTCCCCACGGGCGCCACTCACAGGGCCGGTCACTCGGTCAAGGACACAACAGAGGGGGTGGCAGGCATTGTCCTCGAAACAAACTCAAAACAAGCGGCCTCTGCGGGAGGAGGCAGGGAGAATGATGCGCCCTTGCCCACCGGGAGTGCCCAGCGAGGGGGGACACTGCTGGGCAGTGTCTTCCTCACTGAGGGGTGGAGGAAGAGAAAGCAACGACGCCTTGGCTGGGGGCAGGTGGACTCCTGGACACGTTCAGGAGGACAGTGACCTGCACCTCAGGGTCAGCACCGTGGGCAGAAGCAGGAGGAAGCAGATCTGGCAGAAGAGGAAAGGCAAAGCTCTGTGCCTCCTGCTGCTGGAGGGGCTCCTGCCCGACAGGTGCAAAACCAGGGCACAGCGGCTTGCGGGGGCACTTGCCCCGGGGCTGACGTGCAGCTGTACCCAGCCTGGCATGAGCCACAGGAGAGCAGGCCCAGGGCACTCCCTGTCATCATGGCAGCTCCGAGCCCAGACGCAGCGGCTAGACCCACATCTCAGCTTGGGAGTGAGGCCCCTGCATCCTGGCCCAGACACCCTGAAGTGCTAAGGACAGGCAGCGTCAGGCCCACTGGAGCAGGCTCTGGCTGTGCCTCCCCCGAGCAAATGGCCCAAGAGCCTGCCCCGAGCTCAGGGCAGTTTGGGTCTGGGCAGGGGCCGGGGTTTCACTTGGGAATAAGATGCCAGTATCGTAAATGAACCCAAATGGGCAGCGCCCTCCAGAACTGACAGGGCTGAGCTCTCACCAGCTGCCCTCAGGACTGTAACCCCTGAGCACTGAATATGGAGCGATCTGACGGGTGCTTCGCCAACAACAGTAAACAGCGAGCACTGGAAATGATCCCATTAGACTTGAAAGTGGGACCCATGAAGGATGTAAGCCGTGCAGGCGCCAGTTTGGACGGATAAATTAGCCTCAGAAGAGAACGCATATGGCGGCTTCAGAAGAGAAGCAGGAGCTGATGGCTGCACACCCTCCCCAGACAGAGTTGTCACGACTTCAGGACCTCCATAGACTTGAAGACCCCTGAAGACCTCCAAAGAGGACTGGCTGCCTCAATGCCTCAGGCCCTGCCTGTAGCATCTCCTGCAAAGAGCACTTGGGCCTCAGCCCGGTCTCTGCCAGCTGTTTGCAGGTGGCGGGTGCGAACACCCCAAAAGCTGGAACACTGGTGTCACTGGCACCGCCTGAGGGGCCGGCTGCTTACCTGCCTGCTTCCTGGTGGCTGGCGCCTGTGTCTGGCCTCCTTAAGAACTCTCGACGGTCCAGCCATGTCTGGCCCGGCATCTGGTGCTGTCCAGCCTGGTCTGCGGACTATTGCTGTGGGCTCTGCCAGCGCGGGCTACCTCCCCGGGATATGGGGATTTGATCGTGATTCCTGGGTTCCCCCGTGCTGACCCCTCCCTGTTCTCTGCCCATGCACGAGGACCCCTGGGTGTTGCCAGCCACAGCCCACGGGCCCACATGACAGTGCATCACCTGTGTCCCTGAGGCGCAGGACACCAGGCGCAGAAAGGGACCGGAGCTAGTGGAGACCAGAACTAGTGGCATCCCTGGCGGGGCCATGTGCTGGCCAGAATAGAGGGGCGGGGGCATCCGTTTCCGTTGACAGGGCCCTTGGGGGCGAGGCCCTCCCCTCATTGTCTGCAAGAAACTCCAGAATCACTATCAGTTTCTTGGGGCTGCAGCTTCTGGGACTGCTCGTCAGGGCTGGTCCCTCACGCCTGCTCCAGCCTCCACCCTCCCTCCTGCGCGTGCAGGGGTCGGGTCCCCAGCGTGCTCGCCCACGAGCTCATTTGTTGTCTGTGACCCTGACCTGGGGGGCCTGTGAGGACTCAGGGAGACCCACACCCAGGAGAGGGTCCCCTACTCTGCTGTGTCAGAGCCGGAGACACACTCACCTCGAGGACACGCCAGACAGCGCTGCCGCGGGCCTGACCCCCATTGTAAGGTCAACACCCGCCTCCGTCAGACAGGACAGTTCAAATGTTGTTACATTTCCAGGTGCTGAGATAAACGGCCTTTTTGAATAAAATAATTCCCGTGTCAGAAGACCCAGGTGCTCTCCCGTCTCGCTCCTGGGGGATTTCTTGGTTGCCCTCCCTCCCCCCTCCTCCACACCCGACCCCTGCCAGGCCCAGGGGGTGCCCGTGGTGGTGGCAACTTTCCTGCTCCCTGTGGCGGGGCTCGTCCTGGCTCTGATGCCAGGGCCACCCTGTCCCTGCGGGGTCAGGGGGGTGATAGGGCTGAGGGGGGACCAGGTCCTGCCCGCGGAGCCTCCCAGGGCCCTGACGCGCCTGACCCAGAAGGCTTATTACCAGGGCTGCCGAGAAGCCCATGGGGACAGGACAGCGGCCCGGGGAGGCCCCTGAGCAGCAGGCGAGGACGCGTCAGGCCAGGACGCAGGAGGGGGAAGTCGCAGACCCCTCGGCGGGTCTGTCTGTTGGGGCATCGGCGGAGACCAGGCCAGAGTCCCAGGCTTGGGAGCCCCAAGCATGTGGCTGTCGCCATAGGGTGGACCTTCTCTCCCGCCCTGACCACGGCCGCGCCTGAGCCCTGCGGAAAGTAGCTGCAGGAGAAACCAACTCAGCTCCTCGGGTGAGGGGAGGGGCAGAACAATGACCGGGAGGGCAGCAGCTGGAGGTCACCCTCTCAGCACATATGAGAAGGGGTGAGGGCCAGACAGTCGTCAGATGGTGACACAGGGCGGGGACACCCCACCCACTGCCCTGATGAGTGATGGGAGCCCCAACCAGGAACAGACTTGGGACCATCAGTGTCCACTTGGTCCAAAATGTGCACCTGGAGCTGCAACTGGCCAGTGTTTTGCAGGGACTGGGGGCTCAGACCCCCCCCCAGAGTAGATTCGGGGTGTCCTTGACAACTCTTGTTCCTGAGGGTTCTTGGGGGTCCCACTCCTGAAAGGTACATGGACCGGGGTATGGTGACAGCAGAGGAGGGGCCGGTCTCAGGGCTTTAGGGGTGCTCTGCATGGGACGTGGTAAGACAGGAGACTGCTCAAGGGGCTGAGGTCACTTGAACTCTCTGCCCTTCAGCATCTCCCACAGGCAGTGTGGACAGTAGCAGCACCTGCAGGTCACAAGCTGGAGAGGCCGAGCAGAGCAGGAGCTGAGATCCCTGTGGGGGACATTGGATAGAACACGGAGAGAGGTCAGTGGGGAAGGACAGCGCTGGACCCATGCAGAGTGACACCGCAGGTCCAGCACTGGCAGAAGGTCCTGGAATTTTATTCCTCTAGACTTTCATGCAGTGATATCTCCAGGGGGGATGAATCTGACAGCCATGACAGAATTCGACCTCCGGGGATTCCCCTCCCAGGGGACCATGGGCTTCTTGCACCCGCTGCTCTCCTCCCTGGTCTACCTGTGTGCCCTGCTGGGGAACGGGCTCATCTGTGTCATCACGACCCTGGACCGGCACGGCCACACCCCCATGTACTTCTTCCTGAGGAGTCTGTCCTTCTCGGACCTCTGCCTCATCTCAGCCACGGTCCCCAAGTCCATTGCCAACTCTCTGAGGCACAGCAGCTCCATCTCGTTCCCGGGCTTTGTCATCCAGGTCTTCATGATGATTATATCTGTAGGTACAGAGATGTACCTGCTCACGGTGATGAGCCTTGATCGCTATGCTGCCATCTGCCACCCTCTGCACTATGACGTCATCATGAGCAGGGACAGGTGTGTGCAGCTGACAGCTGTGTCCTGGCTGGGTGGGGGGTCTCTATGCTGTGATGTTCACTGCTGGCACTTTCTCCTTGTCCTACTGTGGGTCCAACGTGGTCAACCAGTTCTTCTGTGACGTCCCCCAGTTATTGGCTATTTCCTGCTCAGTTAATGTTATGATCAAACTTGTCCCCATTCTCATCAGTGTGGTCTGGAGTATCTGCTGTTTCATTTTCATCATCATTTCCTATGTCCACATCTTCTCTGCTGTCAGGAAGATCCCATCCACAGAAGGGAAGGCCAAAGTTTACTCCACCTGCCTTCCCCACCTGCTGGTTGTGATGCTGTTTGTCTCTACTGGAAGCTTTGATTATCTGAAGCCGACCTCAGAGACCCCATCCATGTCTGACCTGGTCATTTCTATGTTCTACACGATGGTGCCCCCCACCTTTAATCCCATCATATACAGTCTGAGGAACCAACCCATGAAGTCGGCTGTGTGGAGACTGATGAAGGGGAGACTCGCCAAAATATAATGGGGAAGATGACTTCATGACTCCATTATGAGACACATATTTTAAAGTAATGAATTATGCTCCTCTTCATATTTGTCTAATTACGTATAATTCCGTTGCATTATCTTAAAATATATGCTCATTTTTAAATTATATTTACGATGACTTCTGCTGCTTATATACTCTATTGGCATTGATTGTTCCTCTTTGTTACACTTAGGTGCTTTTTTATATTCTCTGCATAATGAGGTCACTGAACTTGCAGACACTCTTTGCTGGTCTCCATTTCTGTGCTCCCGGCTGAGAGAGGCCATGGTTGGGTTTCATCTCAGTCATCAGCAGAAGTTCTCTCATGGGGGCAGCATCTCCAGTCTCTAAGGCGGCTTCCCCTTTAATGTTTTCTGGTCACAGGTGGGATCAGGGGCCACAGGCAGGACAGAGATCCCTTTACTTAGTGAGTGAGGCCTTCACAGCATAAATAAGGCCTGAGGATCTGAAGTGAGAATCTGAGTAGTCAAAACCTTTGTCGATAAGGACACACACGTGACGTGGTGTAGACAACCTGGAAGCTCTGGTGTGGGCGCCACCCTCATTTGCCAAAATCACACTCACCCACGGTGGACACCAGAAATAGAAAAGTTAGGTTCATGAGCAGTATAATTACAAAAAAATTCCAAAATGCACTGGATAGGAATTTTTGAGATACAATAAGAGAACTTAACAAGTTATGATGGTCAAAAAAAATGATAGCTAGTAGCCTGCCTCGTATCTAGTATTTCCAGAAAAGTGTTAGGAATGCCATCCATGACCTCACACAACACTTTACAGGAGTGTTGTCCCATTTATTTCATCCCCTAGAGTGGGCGGGATGGCAGGACAATGCCCTGGCCGGGCAGGTCATCAAGAGGAATCTTACCTAGAATGTCTGCATTTTTCACAAGCACGTTGAAATGAAAAAACTCATCAGATTTACGTGCAATGAAATGATGCTACCATTTAGTATACTTGTAAAGACATGTAAGGAATTGAAGGAGATTTCAATTTGGGAAGTGAAATGCCCCCATGATTGTCACTTGCTGTCTGGCCTCAGCTCCTTTCTGCTGACTGCATCGACGGCCAATATTTGAAAATTTCACACCAAAATATTTCATGATAAAAATTAGTTCCAACTGGATATCAGACATTTAAGTCGTTATCAAACAGTTCGCCTTGCGAGGAGGCTCTTCAGGCTGACCTTGCTCAGGTGAGATCCATGCAGGCACAAAGTAAAATGGAGGCTGCCAGGAAAGGTTAGAAAATGGCAACATCTGGATATTTGAAATCTGGGATGACAACTTGATACTATTCTTTTAAGTGGTATTTTTAACTTTTCTCTGATAAATTAATTTCTTAATATCAATTCTTGATACTGTTATAGTTCACTGGTGGGATATAATGAGAATTTAATATGTGTATTAAGAACCTGAATCAGAGCATTATACACATTTATGAGACTATTCACTGTCAACTTTGTATAATATTATTAAAATATTTAAGTAATAAACATTAAATGTCTGAAGACTTTATGAATTTAAAAATGTAAGCACAATGAAAATTGTTGTGAATACCAAGGTAGTATACATTGAGAACTCTAAAGACTCCACTGAAAAAACAAATAAATAAGCCACTTCAGTATACTTAAAAAGTACAAAATCAACACATGAACATCATTTGCCTTCCTATATGCAAAAAAATGAATCAGAAGAGAAGAATTGAGAAGGCAACCCTATGTAAAATCACAAAATTACCTAGGAGTAACCCTAAAACAGGAAGTAAAGATACACAGAAAATTGTAAGACATTCTTAGAATAAATAGGAAACACAAAAAGTGAAAGATATGCCCTCCTCATGGACAGGAAGAATCAGGATTACAAAATATCCATCAGACTCAAAGCAATTTACAGATGCATGCAATCCAAATGAAAATTTCAATGGCATTTTCAAACATACGAAGCAAACATTACAGAAAAGCATATGGAACTAAAAAGACCGCAAACAGCCGAAACAGTCTTGACAAAAAAGTAAGAAAGGAGGAAGCACACTTTCAGACTTCAAACTGTATAATAAAGCTCTAATAGTTAAAGCAGCATGGTTCTGGGGCAAAAACAGACACAGACCCCTGGAATATAACAAGGGCCCAGGAACCCACCCTCATCAGGATGGACAGTGACTCTATGAAAGAGGAGCCAGGGCAGGCACTGGAGCAGGGAAAGTGGGGGGATGGTGCTGGGAAAAGCAGACAGACACACGCAGCAGAGTGAAGCCAGGTCCTGCCCCACACCCTATAGAAAAGTAAACTCAAAGAGGTAAATGCCTGTTTCCGTGTGTGACGTCACCATCATCTTGCAGCAAACCTAAGTATATGACACCATGAGCAGGTGTCATTTCCTAAACATTAAATTTCCTAAAGATTAAAAGCAAATTATCCCAACAAAAGGACAATTCTAATGTAAGTGCAGTGACAGGTGCTGTGGTGGAAAAGAACTGCAGGATACACAATTTCAGAGACGAGTGAAGTTTCTCTTCCCGAAGGGCTGGTGACACCCTGGTCACTCACTTCTGCTGGACGTCCATTGTCTTTCGGCCCACTCCCCTCCCTTGGATCCCTCCTTCCTCTCTCCTTGTCCCTTCCCTCCCGCCTCAGGCCTTCCCGCATCGCATCCCCCTCACGCCCAGGGCCTCTCCTTGAAGGGCACACGGTGGGTGACGGGCGACTGTCCAGCTGTCTAGACAGGGACTCAGGGCGCTGTTATGACTGATGGTGCCCACCACAGTGGACATGACAGGTGGGGAATGGAACCTGGAAATGAGGATTTGTCTATTCACTTCCATAGAGGTGTGAGCCAGACACAAAATCACATCTACACACCGAGTGTGATAATTACTCGCTGAGATGCACTCCAGGACGCTCCAATTAACACAGTCAAGTAAACACACACTTTCCCTCTGGAGGAAGGTCCCTGAGGGCTGGAATTTGGACAGTGTCCAACACACGGACACCAGCTCCAGAGCTCAAATAGCCCAGCCCTGAGGCCCTGCTCTGTCCATGAGGCGGTGCAGAACGGGGTGGAACATCCTGTGAGTGCTCAGAGGCGTCCCCAGGAGCCCCAACCATGGAGTGAGAGGCCAGGACTCCCTCTGTCCACGCCATGGAGACAACCTCAGGACACAGATGGACACAGCAGCGGGAACTTTCCCCCACAATTTGCAGGTATTCTGTTCTTAAACTGTTTTCAGAATGGAAATCACTCTAACTTGAAAGTTGTTAGAATTCAAGCTTCATTTTAGATGTGAGAAAGTACATTAATTAAAATATTCATTTTGTAAATCATGAAAACGAATAAATTCTGAATGTGCACAAGTTTCTCAGTGCCCCACTGCCTTATCATGCTACATGAGTCTCAACGAGAGGAAATATACTCTCCTTGACTTTAAGTGTTCAAAAGATTGACCTGTAGTACCTTTATATATTAGAAGGTTTTGTTGTTTGTGACAATTAATGCTTCATAACTGGCATTTGAGCATTCAGCACCCTGAGTTGTTTTGGGCACTACATAAAAGCACAGCAGTTAATGGAATTACATTGTGATGAAGAAATTCCAGGGGAAAGTTAATATGATACTTATTGTCAGAATGTTGTGCCTTTTGCCTACATATTAAGACAGACCTAAGAGTCAAATATAAATTCTGCAAATGTAACAGCAACATCTTTGATCATTTCATGGCTCCGGCACTAAGAGAAGTTGGGTGTGGACTCAGGTCTCTTCACGGACATGGACTTGGGTTTTTCCCCAAACCCCCACTCAGGAGTGGTCACTGATACTGCACAGGAAGAGAAAATGTCAGAGCTTCTGTCATCAATAAATGTATGTTTCATATCACTCGAAAGATGTCGACATCTTGGACCACTTTATATCCTGATTTATTTCCTTGATTTTATTATATTACTGGGAAGATTTCAACCAACGTGTTGCAATTGTTTCATATTACTATGTGACCTTAAAAATCTTGCCCGGAAAAATTATTTCATCATTACAAATATTATTCTAAATCACTCAAGAGATGTCTCCATCTATGACCACCTGGTATTTTCATTTATCCTCTAGGTTCTACTAAATTATTTTAATTTTTGTCCACCGCTGTATTTCCATGAATGTATTCCCCACATTCCCCTGCCTCACCAGGGCCTGGGCCTCTGTCACCCCACAGAGGGAGGAGAGGATGACATTGGGGGAGGAGAGCAGGCAGGGCTACCCCGTGTCCAGACGTCCCCACTCACGCATGGGCCTGGGGTGAGGAACTAACCTGCACCTGGGGGACCCAGGGCCCTGGGACCAGCAGGGACAGCCACACGCACAGACCGTCCGGCTCAGCTCCGGAGCGGCCTCCTCCCTGCACAGATGTGCATGAGTCTGAGGGGGACAGAGGGGCTGGGGAGGGACCCGGGAGTGGACAAGCCTATCCTACAGGAGGGATTTGTGGGTGTGACCCAGGAGGAGACTCTTGTGGGAAACATGGTCTCTGAGTCCTCAGATGTGGGGAGTCAGGGGCAGGGTGATGAGGGGATGAGGGGATGGACCAGGAATCAGGAGTGAGGCCACAGGGGCAGGAGATCTGACAGAGGAGGCGTCAGTACATGCCGCACGGGAACGCTGAGCCCAGATAATTCAGTTCCAGGACAGTGTCGGGTGCTGGGGAGCAGGAAAACAGGGACCCGCACACCTCATCTCCCTGCACACCTGTCACTGTGGGGCCTCCCCAGACCAGGGCTGTGCTGGAGGAGCAGGGACAGGCTCTCTAGGGTGCGGGGTGCTGGGCATGGTCATGTGTCCTCTGGGGCTGTGCCCTGGACAACCTCTGGGAGGTGTGCTGGGCGGAGATGCTGGGGCCTGGGCAGGAGTTGGGAGCCGCGGGCCTGGGGTGGGTTTGGGGGGAGCTTTGTCGATTGACTTTTTTGACAGGTATGAGATTCTAATTTGTTCAAGTGTTGTAGGGGACCGTTGAAATTTTCAGTTTTCACCAGCTTTCAGGACTTATGTGGAGAGTGTAATAATGACATATTCACATGAGGTGTAATAAATGGGTTGGAAAAAACAGCATACATAGATGATATTAGTGTCCATAGAACTGGAAGGAATAATTATGTAGAAATACATTCAGTTATTATCTTGTATTGATAACCCATTCTGTTTTCAATATTGGAAGAATTAAGATTTTGCTGCTCTTTCCTCTTCTATACAGATGATGGCCCCAGGGGTGACCAATCTCACGGCCATGACAGAATTCGTCCTCCTGGGGTTCCCCACCCAGGGGACCATGGGCTTCTTGCACCCGCTGCTCTTCTCCCTGGTCTACCTCTGTGCCCTGCTGGGGAACGGGCTCATTGTCCTCATCACCACCCTGGACCGGCACCTCCACACCCCCATGTACTTCTTCCTGAGGAGTCTGTCCTTCACAGACCTCTGCCTCATCACAACCACGGTCCCCAAGTCCATTGCCAACTCTCTGAGGCACAGCAGCTCCATCTCCTTCCCGGGCTGTGTCGTCCAGGTCTTTATGCTGATTCTTTCAGCAGGTGGAGAGATGAACCTCCTCACGGTGATGAGCCTTGACCGCTATGCTGCCATCTGCCACCCTCTGCACTATGACGTCATCATGAGCAGGGTCAGGTGTGTGCAGCTGACAGCTGTGTCCTGGCTGTGTGGGGGCCTCTATGCTGTGATGAACACAGCTGGAACCTTCTCCTTGTCCTACTGCGGGTCCAACGTGGTCCACCAGTTCTTCTGTGACATCCCCCAGTTGTTGGCTATTTCCTGCTCAGGAAAATTTATGAACAAACTTGTCCCCATTCTCATTACTGTGGTGTTGATTATCTTCTGTTTCATTTTCATCATCATTTCCTATGTCCACATCTTCTCTGCTGTCAGGAAGATCCCATCCACAGAAGGTAAGGCCAAAGTTTACTCCACGTGCCTTCCCCACCTGCTGGTTGTGGTGCTGTTTCTCTCCACTGGATGCTTTGCTTATCTGAAGCCGACCTCAGGGACCCCGTCCGTGTCTGACCTGGTCATTTCTATGTTCTACACAGTGGTGCCCCCCAACTTTAATCCCGTCATATACAGTCTGAGGAACCAAACCTTGAAGACGGCTGTGGGGAGACTGATGGAAGGCCAATACTCCAAGATGTGAGATACCACAATCTAAATTTATAGCCCCTCATTAATTCAGCTTTCCCCCCTTAACTCTTGCATGTCATCATTTATAAACATTGATTTCTTGCATTAGGATTATTCCCTTGTCACAAATTCATATTCTCATAATCCTCACTATACTCCTGTTTCCTAAATTACTATAATCCTTCCTCCAAGCCCTCCCTGTGTGATGTTCATAAACTGAATCCAGCTCATGGTTAAAAACTCGTATTTGGTATAGAAAGACTGTTCTAGAACTTACATTCACCAACATTTACATAACATGAAGCAGTGGTAAAGGGTACTGTCCTCAGGACCACATGGTCAGGGGACCCCAGTCCTGGGGCTCGGTTCCCACAGCCTGTGTATGTCTCCACCAAGGGCCTTGTCCTCGTTGATGGCAGGGGAGACAGAGAGTGAGGCCCCCCATCCTTCACGATTCCTCACGGGGCGTCTTCCTCTAGGAGAACTTCCTGTTTCTGCTCAAAGGACAAGGGAAACCACACTTGACTCTGCCAGAGGTGGAAGGATGGAAGCTTCCTTGGTTAGTAGGAATCTATGACTGAAAACTGGAATTGAGGGAATATTAATTTCTATGATGCCTGTTTTGATGCCAATGTGACGGCACTCCCTCGATGTGGTGTTTTCAAAAGTAGTTATATGAATTATCTTTGAAGAGCTACATTTCTACTTAAAAATTTATAATTTTTAATTGTTGCATTTACTTCTAGTTTCCTTAGTTTTCCAGATAGTATCTTCATCCTCTACCAGGTCTTCTCAATTTTTGTGTAGATTGCACTTTAGTTCAATTTTCTTCCACTTAGGAACTATCTTAATTTTTATTATGAAAAACATTATGCAAACTAAAGCTTGACAATATTTGCTATTTTTTTTTTTATAATCCTACATCTGCACTGCACGCTGGAGGTTCTCACATTGTTCCCTAGCACTGAGAACGTGAGCTGGGGGTGACGTTCTTCCTCTCTGGGAGCAGGTCACTGTGTCTCCAAACTCTCCTGACTGATGAGCACATTTTGTCCATGAAACTATTTATGATAATAAAATGTAGTTAATCACAAGACATGACTTGTCCATTCAAATTTCAGAATGAAACCTGAGTTAGAAAATCACTCACAGTAATATTCATTTCATGATAGCATGAGAGCACAAGGCCTCCCTGGTGGCGCAGCGGGTTGAGCGCCACGCTGTGAAGCTGTGCGCAGCCTCTGCAGTGCAGGTTTGATTCCCGGCCCGCCAGTGAGAAACCCACATGGTGCAGCAGACCTCTACTGCCTCGCCCACTGATACCCTCAGCAGTGTCTTCAGTCTGTCTGTTCTGCTCCCCACTCTGTTTCTGGTGAATTCTCTCACCCATCCATGCCTCTGACTATACCCCAGTTCTTGTATAAATAAATAAATCTTAAAAAATAAATATGAGATCACAGTCCCCATCCCCTTGGGATATGATGTCATTATGTGGTCAGATTCCTGTTGATGTATTTTATAGTTTTTCCTTGAACCAATCCAGCAAGCAGCCTCTCGCAATTTTTATTCAGGCTGAAACCGTCCCTGCTCCTGAGTGCGTCCACCTGACTCACACCTGCAGGACCTGAACGTGCCGAACAGTCACAGATGCTGGCTCATGCTGCATAAAGTCTCCTGCATTCCTGATGCTTCTTTTTGATTTTATTATTGGATATAATCTGAGTATCCTGACTTAATCCTGTCACGTCATTTCCTGCGGCATCTCACTGTTGCAAACTGATCCTTTCCATCCCTCCCGCTCACTGTCCCGCTGTCTCCCCCCAGGGCGTCCGGGGTGACAGAGCACCTGAGTCTGCTTTCTGAGACTCACAGGTGGGCACCCGGGGCTGGACGCTGTGCAGCCAGGACAGTGGGAAGGATGGACGTTCCCTCGTTGGCTGAGACACGACACAATCTCTGCGACCACGCAGGTTCCCCGGGACCCCTGGGAGCGGCACCCCAGCCCCCTGACCCTGAGCCCCTAAATGACACCCCACCTGGACACTGCCTGCCCCTGCCCCCCGGGCTGCCTGCTGAGCAGGAGGTAAGAGGGTGTCCTCTCCCGGGGGGCTCGGCTCCGTGAGGAGTCCGGGGCCACTGTCAGTCAGTGTGGACTGTCACTGGTCAAAGGTGACTTGAGAAACCGCTGACTGTGCGGTGTTCAGAATCATGATGCCCCAGGGAGACACAGGCGAGCCTTGGGGGCCGCAGGCTGCCCACCCGCGCTCCAAGCTCGGAGGCGATGCCCCTGGCGGCCTCTGGGCGCCAGCCCCGGTCTGCCTTCTGCCTCACTCGCCAGTGCGCCCCGCTGCCCCCAACCCCTGACCCCGGGACCCCACCCCAATAAAGCTCCACGGCACCCACGATGTGTCAGGGAAGCGAGGGTCCCCCCCGCAGCCCCTTAGCGTGGCCTGCAAAGACCCAGGTGGGCCTCGTCACTGCCCCTGCCTCCTCAGAGCAGCCGGTAGATCGTTCCTCTGTCAAACAAACAACAAATGAGACAAAATGGAAGAAGTTTTGCTTAATCATGGATGAAAAGAGACTGTGGGGTGTATTTAAAAGCACAAAGGAGATGATTTCAAAGGAAGAACATGTGGAACCCTAAACTGCATCTCCCCACACACTCGCGTCCATCAAGGAGAAACTTGCTCACACTCAGACAGACAATGTTGACATTTTCTTCCTCCCGAGCTCTCCCTGGACAGCTGCGGGATCGGGCCTGGCCCCGGGTCCTGAGATGGAGGCTTGGCAGAGACCAGGGTGAGGTCTCCAGTGCCTGGAGCCCGAGGCGCGCTCACCAGGGCGGAGGCACTTGTTCCAGCACCGCGTCAGGAGTCGATGTGTTTGTTCCCGGCGGTGCCAGCTGATGTCCATGACTCAGAGTGCATGCGGCGCCTGGGAAAAGCAAAGACAGATGCGCCAGGGCCGGGACAGGTGTCCGGCAGGAGGGTGACGCCACAGTGACCATCCTCAGACCAAACCTCAGCTGGGATTGGAGAGTGAGCCTCAGAGGTCGCCGTCCCCCGATGGCCAGTGCGGTCCCCATGGGCGCCCACTCACAGGGCCGGTCGCTCGGTCAAGGACACAACAGAGGGGGTGGCGGGTGATGTCCTCAGGGAACGAACTCAAAACAACCGGCCACTGCGGAGGAGGCAGGGAGAATGATGCGTCCGTACCCACCGGGAGTGCCCAGCGAGGGGGACACTGTCTGTTCCACACTGAGGGGTGGAGGAAGAGAAAGTGACGACGCCTCGGCTGGGGGCAGGTGGACTCCCAGACACGTGCAGTGCAGGAGGACAGTGACCTGCACCTCAGGGACAGCACCGTGGGCAGAAGCAGGAGGAAGCAGATCTGGCAGAAGACGAAGGCTAAAGCTCTGTGCCTCCTGCTGCTGGAGGGGGTCCCCCGAGGTCACGCCACCAACTGACCTCAGAGCTGGCCTTGAGTAACTAGAGTCTCCTCAGCCTCCATGAGTCCTCAGTGTCCCTCTGCCCAGTCTCAGTGTTCCAGGGGCCCTGCCCACAGGAGGAGCCCGGGGAACGGAGGCTTGGCTGGGGCGCTAGCCCTGGGGCTGACGTGCAGCTGTACCCAGCCTGGCATGAGCCACAGGAGAGCAGGCCCAGGGCACTCCCTGTCATCATGGTGCCTCCGAACCCAGACGCAGCTGCTGGACCCATGTCTCAGCTCGGCAGTGAGGCCCCTGCATCCTGGCCCAGATACCCTGAAGTGCTCAGGGCATGCAGCATCAGGCCCACTGAAACCGGCTCTGGCCGTGCCTCCCCTGAGCAAATGGCCCAAGAGCCTGCCCCGAGCTCAGGGCAGTTTGGGTCTGGGCAGGGGCTGGGGTTTCACTTGGGAACGAGGTGCCAGGATCGTAAATGAACCCCATGGGCAGTGCCCTCCAGAACCCACAGGGCTGAGCTCTCATCAGCTGCATGCAGGGCTGGAACCCCTGAGCACTGAACATGGAGCATCCGATGGGTGCTTCACCAACAACAACAAACGGCGAGCACTGGAAATGATCCATCAGGCTTGAAGGCGGGACCATGAGAGGATATCAGCTGTGCAGGCGCCAGCTCGGACAGATAAATTGGCTTCAGAAGAGGATGCACGTGGCGGCTTCAGAAGAGAAGCAAGAGTTGATGGCTTCACACCTTCCCCAGACAGAGTTGTCATGGCTTCAGGACCTCTATAGACTTGAAGACCCCTGGAGACCTCCACAGAGACCCCGCTCCTGCACCTGCCTCAGGCCCTGCCTCTGGCATTTCCTGCAAAGAGCGCCTGGGCCTCAGCCTGGTCTCTGACGACTGTTTGCAGTTGGCGGGTCGAACACCCCAAGAGCTGGAACACTGGTGTTGCTGGCACCGCCTGCAGGGCCGGGTGCTCACCTACCTATTCCCTGGTGGCTGGCGCCTGTGTGTGGCCTCCTTGAGAACCCTCGATGGTCCAGCCATGTCTGGCCCGGCATCTGGTGCTGTCCAGCCTGGTCTGCGGACTATTGCTGTGGGCTCTGCCCACGTGGGCTACCTCCAGGGACATGGGGATTTGATCTTGATTCCTGGGTTCCCCCGTGCTGACCCCTCCCTGTCCTCTGCCCATGCACGAGAACCCCTGGGTGTTCCAAGCCACAGCCCACGAGCCCACGTGATGGGCGTCACCTGTGTCCCTGAGGTGCAGGACACCAGGGCCCGAACGGGACCGGGGCCAGCGGACACGAATCCCTGGCTGGGCCATGTGCCGGCCAGAATAGAGGGGCAGGGGCATCTACTTCCATTGACAGGGCCCGTGGGGGCGAGGCCCTCCGCTCATTGTCTGCAAGAAACTCCAGAATCACCATCAGTTTGTGGGGCTGCAGCTTCTGGGACTGCTCGTCAGGGCCGGTCCCTCACGCTCGCTCCAGCCTCCGCCTTCCCTCCTGCGCATGCAAGGGACGAGTCCCCAGCGTGCCCGCCCATGAGCTCATTTGTTGTCTGTGACCCTGACCTGGGGGGCCTGTGAGGACTCAGGGAGACCCACACCTGGGAGAGGGTCCCTTACTCTGCTGTGTTAGAGCCCAGGACACACCCACACCGAGGACATGCCGGACAGCGCCGCCGCGGGCCTGATCCCCATTGTAAGGTCAACACCAGCCTCCGTCAGACACGACAGTTCAAATGTTGTTACATTTCCGGGTGCTGAGATAATCGGCCTTTTTAAATAAAATAATTCTGAGAGACACAAACAAATTCCCATGTCAGAAGACCCAGGTGCTTCCCCGTCTCGCTCCTGGGGGATTTCTTGGTTGCCCTCCCTCCCCTCCTTCCCACATCCCGTCCACCTGCCAGGCCCAGGGTGTGCCTGGGGGTGGCGGCGACTTTCCCGCTCCCTGTGGACGGGGCTTGTCCTGGCTCTCACGCCGGGGCCACCCCGTCCCTGCGGGGTCAGAGGGGTGATGGGGCTGAGGGGGGACCAGGTCCTGCCCGCGGAGCCTCCCAGGCCCTGATGCGCCTGACCCGGGGGGCTCATTACCGGGGCTGCCGAGAAGCCCATGGGGACAGGACAGCAGCCCGGGGAGGCCCCTGAGCAGCGGGCGAGGATGCATCAGGCTAGGGCGTGGGAGGGGGATGTCGCAGACCCCGCGGCAGGTCTGTCTGGTGGGGACCAGGCGAGAGTCGCGGCTTGGGAGCCCCGAGCGTGTGGCTGTCACCATAGGCTGGACCGTCTCTCCCGCCCTGTCCGCGGCCACGCCTGAGCCCTGTGGGAAGTAGCTGCAGGAGAAACCACCTCAGCTCCTCGGGTGAGGGGAGGGGCAGGACAATGACCGGGAGGGCAGCAGCGGGAGGTCACCCTCTCAGCGCCTACGAGCAGGGGTGAGGGCCAGATGGTCGTCAGACGGCGACATTTGGCGGGGACACCCCACCCACTGCCCTAATGAGTGAGGTAGGCGCCGACCAGGAACAGACTCGGGGCCATCAGTGTCCACTTGGTCCAAAATGTGTGCCTGGAGCTGCAACTGGCCAGTGTTTTGCAGGGACTGGGCGTTGGGACCCCACAGGCTAGATTTGGGGCATCCTTGACAGTTTGTGTTCCTGAGAGTTCTTGGGGGTCCCGCACTTGAAAGGTATATGGACTGGGGCTTGGAGTCGGCAGAGGTTGGACTGGGCTCAGGGTTTCAGGGGTGCCCTTGCACGGGACATGGTGAGACGTGAGGAGACTGCTCAGGGAGCTGTGGTCAGTTGAACTCTCTGCCCTTCGGCATCTCCCACAGGTGGCGTGGACAGTGGCGGCACCTGCGGGTCACAAGCTTGAGAGGCCGAGCAGAGCAGGAGCTGAGATCCCTGCCGGGGACATTGGACAGAGCACGGAGAGTGGTCAGTGGGGAAGGATAGCACTGGTCATCTGCAGAGAGACACCATGGGCCAGGCACTGGCGGATGGTCCTGGCGTTTTATTCCTCTAGACTTTCATGCAGTGATGGCTCCAGGGGGGATGAATCTCACCATCATGACAGAATTCGTCCTCCTGGGGTTCCCCACCCAGGGGACCATGGGTTTCTTGCACCCGCTGCTCTTCTCCCTGGTCTGCCTGTGCGCCCTGCTGGGGAACGGGCTCATCGTC